TGGGTAAAATGACGTATGGTTCTTCGGTGATGGTGAAAGTGTTTGTAGGTGCATTTGTCACAGAAAAAGCCTGTGAATTTCCTTGCTGTTGAGTGCTAGAAGTAGCAAGTGCTTGTGCTTCTTGAACTGATGGCAAAAGCTTCAAATTTGAATTGTGTTGATTTGTGGAGAAATATCCTCATTAGTGTTGTTTTTATTATTGTGCAATAAATAATTATGACGATTAGAGCATTTTCTGCAGGTGAATTTGCTATTGCAATCTTTTACTGTATGTCCCTGACGTAAACAATTTGTGCAAGCATTGATTTTGCGGATTCTGTTAAGCCGATCACCTGGACTAAGTTCCAGAAATGATGGACAAGAATAAATGGAATAATCCTTCTTACACAAGGGACAAGAATTTGTTGTGATTGCAGAACTTGAACTTGTATTGTGTTTATGATAAGTGTTTCGAGGGTTGTTGTTGCTGGGGGGTTTATTTACTGGTTGGTGAGAATGGATCAATGAATGGATATTTTCAAGCATTTGGCAATGTCTATTGAGAAATGATGGTAAATCATTTAAACTGGGTGTGTCTGTCTGTAATGGTAAAGAAAAGTCTTCCCATTGTCTTCTAGTAATGGGGTCAAGTTTGGATGTAATATGAAAAATTATTATGGTGTTCCAATGTTTCACTGGCAAACCCAATGATGCTAGAGCTTGTAAATGTTGATTAAAATGATCTATCAAAGTTCTTAAGCTAACGGACGATTCCTTGTGAATAGATGGAATGTCAAAAATCGCTTTCATGTGACTTTGGATTATAATTTTATTATTTTGATACCTATCGCATAAAAGAGTCCATGCTCTGTCATAATTAACTTCAGAGACTTCTAATAATTGCAAAATGTTTGCTGCCTCGCCCTTTAAACAAGATTTTAGGTACCAAAATTTTTCAATTTTGCTCAAGGTACTCTTACTATGAATCAAAGATTTATACGTATCTGAAAATTGCAACCATTGCTCATACACCCCTGAAAATTCAGGTAATTTTATTTTTGGTAAATTCATGTTAATATTGCTACTTACGATCCTTGGTGAATGTGTGGGAGGTGTACTTGGTTGGCTTTGTGAGAAGTATTTGCCAATTAATGCCTTAGCCATTCCTGTGTTGTCAAAAAATATGTCTTCAAATTCTATTCTATATTTTGTATGATCAACATCCACATCATATAATTCTAGGTCACCTTGAACACCTATGAATTCTGCCCATAATGCTTGTATCCTCTCCAATCTGCTCTGAAGGTTGTAAATTTTGTTATTATCTGAAAATGAGCCTACAAAATCTGAGAACCTATTTAATGCTTCAAATATCTTTGTTCTGGTACTCTAAAGACCCTCGATTTTAGTAAGAAATTGCTCTTCATTCTGTTCTTTAGTATTTGGCATGTTTGATTAACTGTCAAAACCTTGTCAAAACCAATAAATGCAATATGTATTGAATTTTATGAAAATGTGAAATTTCAACAACAGATGAAGCAACCTAACTTTGGCTTGTGTTTCCAATTAATAAAGATTGATGATGCAATAATATAAGAAATGATGATAATGATTGATTGAGTATACCATCAGCTCTTGGACTTAGAGCTAAATTCCTGTTCTTCCTTACGCGCACTCTGCTCCAATGGCTGATGATGGATGAACGATTTGACGTTGATTTGGAAACTTGGAACCTTTTCCAATCCCAATTTCTTGCTCGTTCCTCTTCTGTTTCTCTTCTACAGCTAATAAACCTTAGGAACGATACTCGAAGGACCTGCTTGCATGAAAATCTTGAATATATCGGCTGGATGGTTTATGTATCCAGCTCCTGAGACCATGTAGGAATCTCCCTTTGTACAGGGAAAACCTTTTTGTAGATAGCTGATTCTTGAATAATACTGATGTCTTGTTTATGTTAAAAATTATTTATTGCCAATATATTCAATAATATATGGAGCTTAGGTGTGGAAAGATAACAATGATCGTGATGATTTTAAAAACTGAATAAATTATAATTATTATAACAAAAGAAAAAATAAATAATGACTGGAGACAATTGGCAAAGCCGCCCGTCCCTTTATGCTTGGTATTCAAAAAAATGACTAACTAGTAGGTACAGAGTGTTTGTTTATAACTGGAACACTCAGTAACTTTTTTATTATTGAAAATAAAGGGCATGTTCAAATTGGAAAGTTTTTTGGTAAATTGCAACGATCTTAATCGCCGCAACGATATTTTTTTTGTCGTCATAGGTATACAAGGTGCGCCAAAAAAGTAATTTTTTTAAATGGAACGCCCTGTATATTTTTGTATTTTTAAAATTCTTAGAAAATTAGCTTCACAAATATAGCAAAAACTATTTGAAAAACAAAAATATACAAGGCGTTCCATTTTATAAAGATACCTTATTGGCGCACCCTGTATACCTATGACGACAAAAAAATATCATTGTATCGCTCAAGGTTGCAATTTACCAAGAAATTTTCCAAGTTAAACATGCCCTTTATTTTCAATAATAAGAAAGTTACTGAGTGTTCCAGTTATAAACAAACACCCAGTACACTGATTAGACAGAGCACCTGAGGTCTGTTCGGTTGCCGTTTGTCTCTATCACCTATAAGTATGATAAGTAATACATTAAAATAAACTAAAACTGAAAACGTAAGTATGTGATTTTAAAATAAAATCACATGAGTCTCAACACCTAGCCTCTTCATGTTGTCCTCTAGCTTCTTTGTCTTGTTTTTCTTTTTGTCGTCTGGCCGCTCCGTCTTGTTTTTCTTGTTTTCGTTTAGCCTTTTCTTGTTGTTGTCTAGCTTCTCCTTTTTTTTTGTCGCCTGGTCTCTTCTTCTTGTTTTTCTTGTTATCATTTAGCCTCTTCTTGTTGTCGTCTAGCTTCTTCGTGTTGTTTTTCTTGTTGTCGTTTGGTTTCTTGAAGTTCCAAAATCTTGCGCAGAAGTTCTTAAATTTTTTGTTCTTCCATTTTTGCTTCTTGTCTCGTAATAGGCATATACAGAATGTTCTGGGATTTCCCTCAAACTTTTTTCAAATATCTTTCCTGGTCTTTGAAGTTCCAAATACGTCGGTGAAGTCGCAAATTGGATAACTTGCTTTATTCTCGAATTGAATGTTCTAAAATTTTCTTGAAATGTCTTTTCTGGATGTCGATTGATATAGAAAACACATCGGTGAAGTCACAAATTCGATATCTCCCTTGGTTTCCAAATAGAACTAACTTGAAAATTCCCTATCGCAGTCAAAATCGGGTATACCGAGATGAAAATACCGAACGGAAGAAAAAAATCACGACATTCAGTTTGACGTCGCATTGTCTAAGATTTGCAGATAAATATGGGCGCTTTCTTTTATTCACCAATGGATCCATCGACCAGTCTATCTTTGTCTAGTTCATAGAAAATCGGAATGGCTGTCTCATAATGCTGGCAGCAGATGGATCCATCAATGAATGAATTCGCCCTATAATAACCTGAAATTTCACAGTTTGTTTTGGTTTTTGTTTTAAATAGGGCAACCAACGACCTTTTAAAAAAAATTAAATGGCGGCCAATGCCAACCGTCTGTACTCTACTCTGTTAGTACTCTGTGTTTGTTTAAACACTGCGTTTGATTGTGATTTTTGATGTGTGTAAAGTCTGTAAAGTAGTACAGTGTTGATTTTTTGAAAAATGCCTACGTTATAATGTATTGTACTTAGTTGTGGGGCCGTTCTAATGGCGACAAAGTCACGTTTTATGCCGTTCCTGCAGAGACAAAATAAAGGTGTTTAACGGAGAAAAATGATTTGTCGGTACTTCGTAGGACTTCATGGATTGCAACAAAAGCGAAAAAATCTGACTAAATCCATATTAAAAAAACAAAAAGTCTCGCCACGTAAACGGTGTATGGGATCCAAGCCATTTACCATCCTCAACGTGTGTTGATATCTTGAATAGCAGACAATAATAACTGTTGAGTAGTAAAGGTTTGTCAAAAAGAAATCATAGCTTTTGCCAATAACCCCGGGTTTTCCACTAATGACTTCTTAAAATAAAAACTCTCCATCTTAGAATACAGAAATTATCCTTCCAAGCACTAAAAAATCACCTCAAAACACCACAAAATACACAAAAAACAGTTTTCTGATAAAAAAAAAGAATGTCACGGTTGTTTGCTTAGACAAGGAAATTGGAAATTATCAAAGATGTGCGTCAGTGGTATGAAAACAGCATTTTTAAAAATCATTTAATAAAAAAATAGGACATTGTGAAGCCAACTCGAAGCAAGGATATTTTAATTTTGGTTCATACAACTGATTAGAAATAAGAAAGGAATGAAATTCAAATATGGTGACTTGACCCATTGTCCCTGAATAGAATTTATGAATCAGGTAGATTCTGTTGTGATCAATTAGATACCGGGGTCAAAATATAATGTTTGACCCACCCACCTGGAGAAGTAATTACAGGTGCTACAAAAGAAAGTTTAATACAAAAATTGTTTAATCTAAAAAAAAAAAAAGTGCAGTTTTATTTATACAAGGTATCCCCGAAGTGGTCCATAGCTCGCAACTAGAAATTTCTAAATGGGATACCCTGTTTTTTATTTGATTTCTAGATGCTACGTTAAATTCTAAGACAAATATCTATAAGATAGAACTATCTTATCTTTTAACGTTTTCGAGATAAAGGCGGTTAGATTTAAGGATTTGCTCTCTAAACCATACAATATTTGTATTAAACTTTTTTTTTGTAGCACCTTTATTGACCTCTCCAGGTGTGGGTCCAAATATAGTGAATAACCCGGAACCTATTGCCGTGTTAAACTTGTCTTTAACCTTACTGTTTATTTAAAAAATTCAGTAACTCTTTGATGCAACGTAATGTAATCGAGTTAGAAAACTGCTTTAGTGCTAAAAATATTGAATATTTCATTTCATTTAACTATAAAATTAAAGTTTTTTTTTTTTTAATAATTTTTAGTTGATGAATTCCGCAACATAGCTCTTCAACTAACCCAATCGCATTATAAATCATCCTGCGAACGAGGAATGATCCACAGAGTTGAAGTTCTGCCAATAAGTTGGCATGGAAAACTACATTCTGAAGAAACCGGAATTGATGAACAATTGAAAAAAATCAGTTTAGAAAGCATTCCGCGATTACGTGAATTTACCAACGATACAATTTTGGATGTTTTGTTTTACACTAGCCCATTGTATAGCCAAACTATTATCTCTACAGTTGGGGATGAGTTAAATAGGGTTTACAATTTATTCAAGCAAAGAAATCCTTCATTTAATGGCGGAGTTTCGCTTGGAGGTCATAGTTTGGGATCTTTGATCCTTTTTGACCTATTGGCACACCAACATCCTGAAGATGTGACTGAGGAATCAAAACAAGGTTTGTATTGATATTTTTGTAATAATAGGGTAGTGGACAAGGTATAATTTCAATGAAATCGATCTATTGTTCATCTATGGAGTAAATGAAAAATATTCCTATTGAAAGAAATTTCAGAAAAAATTGCTAACTTGGTTTAAAACGATTGTAAAAGTGGAATTTTGGGACGCACTATTTAAACGAAAATATTTCGCGCCTTGATTCTACGTCATAGCTGTTGTATTTGAGTGTGAAATGAATTAAACCTTCGTCCTATATTCGACACACACTCGCTCATTAGTGCAAAAAAGAGAGATATCAGCGTCTGTCGGGGCGCACCCTCAACTTAACCTCACTTTTTGAGAGATTTTCATTTGTCAATCAATGCGCACTGAGCTTATCTGCATCTTTTTCTAGAAGCATGTAAAATATAAGGACGCACTGACCGCGCTCTCGGCCACTCTTATTAATGTCGGAATGCCTTAGACATAACAGCTGTGACGTAATTTCCGGGCGGTAAATTATACCGTTTAAAAAAAGGATAAATTTGTTTATTTTTTTTTAGGTATATTTTTGTTTTCTAAAATCAAAGAATCATCAACTACTATTTATTTTGTTATGGAGATTATTAAAAAAAATATTTCAAAAAAATTGTCCACTACCCTATTCTAATATTCTTATCCCAGAGGATCGCCACGATCCGCTACTGCAAGTACAGATTCCCTCAAGTAGCGCTCCTTCATCGCCTGGGACGCCTGGGACTCTGTAACGAATAGAGATATGTATCTCTATCTCTATTGTCGTCCCCGCTCTATTGATTTCGAATAGGGAAAAGAAGACAGCAAGTGCCATAGCGATAGGGATAACAATCTATCCGTTACAGAGTCTCAGCCCTGCTGGTCCCTGGTCTGTATGTAACTGGTTTTTTATTACTTTAGGGGATGACATATTGGGCGGTATGCTTAAAAAAAGTACATATTTGCTTTTACTTCAAGCAAATGCTCCATTTTGTAGTTTTCACAGTTTTCACAAAAAAGTATAGCATTTACTCCACATAATTCTTAAAGTAGGTGAGTACTAGGAGCAATTACTTTATACTTTGCTCTATTTACTTCAATATATAGAAGTTTATACTGCAGAAATTACTAATGATTTCTAGTATTTCCTCCATTTGGGAGTATCTGTAATGCACGATACACCTTTTCTTCCTTTAATTCAGATTCTCAGCAGCTCCATTTTCTCAAGATAATGAGTCGTCATTGATTCATCAGGCTGTTTATAAAATCACTTCATAAACTACTTGACAGCAAATTAACAAATCAAAAATCTAATATAAAGAAAACTTCAAAAAAAAAACTTCAATTTCTACAGCTTAGCACGAATTGATACTTTTGTCAAAGAGTCAGGGCAAATTTCACCCGAGACAGAGAAAAAACACTTACAACCTATAAAAAAACAATCCAAAAAATCTGCAAATTAACAAACAACTTTTGTTTGTTGTGTAACCTTTACTATGACTAAAAAAATAACGCTAATAGTGTTTATGCCCAACAAAAAACACTTCAAACAAAGAGCTTTTCTTTGTTGCGTAACTTTTACCATAGAATAATATACGAAATAGAAGGATAATTGCATGTTAAAAATCGGGCCCCTCCGATGGATCCAGGCTTTCTGTCGCGCGATTCCATTTGACCCCTGAGTACGAAAACCTAGACCGTGTTGCCATTTGCAGCACATTGTCGTTGTGTTTCTATCTTTGTAATTTTATTTTTATTTTAATTTCTACTTAGATGAGAAAAATGTACAAGAATTACATTATTGGCTAATTAATTTTTTTTTTACTAGGTCCAACAATTTTTATATCGAAAAATGTCATGAATTTGTCAAAATTCAGTTTTCATACTTTTTCACACATACCTCGCGATATCTCCGAAACCAATCGAGATAATTTCATTAATTTTTTTTTATTCTAAAGAGATTATGTTAACGAAAATCAGTAAGATAATTTTGTTTCTCTGAAAAACTCGCTTTATTCGTAAAACTAGGTAAAACTTCAACTTACACTTTTTATGCAGTATTTTTTTCAATAAGCGAGAAACTTTTTTGTTTCAAGGATTTCTGCCATACTATCAGCGAATGAAACAGAGCTAAGAGATCATGGAAATTTCTGAAAAAAAAAAAACGATACTCTGCGATGCATAGTTTTCAAGATATCGTCACTTGAAGTTCAGAGTTTTATTGGCCGTGCACTACCTACTCCGGGTAGCTTCGCCACACTTAGCGCAGCGCGCGTCTTTAGTGTCATTTACATCCACTTAACTCAAGGTACCTACGGAAAATTAATTTAAAAAAAAGTTGAAGATCATGTACTTACATGTAGTTGTTTACATCCACCTAAAATTTAAGAAAATTAACGTAAAACACGGAAAAGTTGAACCAACTTTAACTTAAGGAAATCCGTACATTAATTTCATTAATAATTATGAATGACAGACAGATTGAACTTGTCTTTTATATTAATGTTATTGGTGATTACACGTAGGAAAATTAACTTCACTGTAAACAATGTAAACACAAACCTTCTCAGCAGAGCTTCTCAGTTTCGAATGTTGATTATAATTTGGTCTTGGAAATATTTTGACTCTTGTTGTAAATAACAACAAAAAAGCAAGGGTTCGTTCTGTAAAATTCCCCAATATTGAGCAAAAAAATGCATAGGGTATTTTTTTATAAGCCCTATGTAGGAAAAAAAAACACCAAAATATACACATTAAATTTAAAATCTTCTAAATCATCATGCGAAATCACGTCGTGTTCGGGAGTGCAAAAATACGCAAACTGTTACGTCAGTTTGGATATTCGCAATCACTCCAACATTATAATCCTCGCAAATTCCTTTTTTCAAATTTCCTACTACATATAGATATCATCTACTGTTAAAAAAATATGCAGTTCTACTATGTCCTAACTGTATAAATAGACTTTGGGGAATTGCTGGTACTGTGCAGTAAACACGAATAAGCATTAGGTATTAGGACATCGATATCAACAGATTTTACCAGAATTGTGTTAACTGATTTTAGATCTATTAGCACATAAGGTAATAATCTGGTATTAGCTTCTTTTTGAGTACTATCTAATTTTTCCAGATGAAACAAAGTTCAGAATCCTGGAATCCACCTGTCATTATGACTGTTGATTCATTTATTAGGCTTTTTTTTCATGGTCGGCACATGGCACACACACAAAAGGAAAGTCCTATATCAACGAGTGGAGTGTGTGTGGAGGTGTCGATGGACATTGGTCGCTGTAGGTTCTAGTTTTCGGGGAAGATGCGACTTTGAAGTGCATTCTAGAGCGAGGCGGCCCTCCAGAAAAATGAGTCTCGAAACAGCGATGTTCTGTTCTAGGTATTTATAACTGAACTGTATGTTGATGAGCTGCTTGTGCCTGACGAGTGTTTTTGTTTGGTGCAACTATAAGCGAAATCAGAAGTGCTAGCTCGTTCGAACACCTTCCGTAGTAGTATCGATAGTAAATGATAGGTCGTATCGATAGTAAATGATAGGTCCGCCATTTTTTACCGATGTTCAAGGCTTTGGAGGTTTTGGTCAAGTCCGGGTCATCGATAAGACGGACTGCTCTCTTTTGTATCAAGTCCAACATCTTGAGCAAGTGTTTGGATACCGATCTCCATATATATTTGCAGTATTCCAAGGATGCTCTTATCTGGGCCTTATAAGAGTAGCTAAAGCTGAAATGGGATATACACCTTCCTTATTCTATAAAAAGCCCCTAGTTTTTGTGCTGCTGTTTTGGCGATTTTGGTGACGTGGTTACGCCAAGACATGTTATTTTCCACGTTGATGTCCAATACGTTTATGGATGAGGCCAAGACCCAGTGTTGGTCCTGTCATTTTTATAGGTCGGATCCTGCAAGTTTTGCCTTTTTTGAGAAAATAGTTGCTTACGTCTTTCCTGCAACAATGATTGTTTATGCGCAATGCTGCTTTCCTTCTCCTAATGTTGTAGTTCTTAAATTGATACCATACTGATACCATCAATAATAAAGGAATCTACTTCCCGACAAGTCGTTAAAGTAGTGATAAATTACTCATTTTTTTTTGCTTATTTGAACCGCCATCATTAAATTAATACTTATTGTGAAAATTGATATTCATGGTGCATTTGCTTGAATAATCATGACAATGCATCTACGCTCAAAAAACAGGCAGATTCAGGGAATTGCGTCGCGCCGCGAAGTATTGCGAAGCTACCCGGAGTAGTGCACGGCCGGTAAAACTCTCAACTTCAAGTGACGATATCTTGAAAACTATGCATCTCGGAGTATCGCGAATTTTTCCAAAAACTTCCTTGATGTCTTAGCTTTGTTTCATTCGCTGATAGTATGGCAGGAATCCTTAAGAGGGGCGTTTAAATAAAATGTCATTTACAGACCTTCACAAATTTCCTTGCCTTTTTTTTTTCTTATAATTTATCAGAATGTCACGTGACAGTAGACCTATCTATTTTACCAAACAAAGAGGTAATAATACGAAAACTTCATTAGATAAAAAAAAACACAGAACGCTCATTGCGCAAGACGAGGCAAAATGTACCAAAGGACCCCGCCACAGCCTCCTACATTTAACAAGCCATTAAGTTAAAAAGGCAACACCGCAATCTTACCGCCAAGTGGTGCTGGTGGTGTTTGTTTGTATAAATATATATTTTTTATTTTATTAATATGAATCACAAAAAATGCATAATTTATTGTACTAAAGCGCCAAAAACAGTAATTCAATGAATAATTTAACTATTTGTGTAAATAATAACAGTAAATAATTGATTTAAATGAATATATTTCTAGAGTCTAAAGTGTTATGTTTCAGTATATCTTTTGAAAATCTAACTTTTTCTTTCTTCGGGATTTTTTCGGAAGGCAAGTCCATCCAAATACTTGAGCTGATTTTCGAAAATAAGAGGTACCTACTTTTAAGAGTTGGACGTTTTAGTTTGAA